GCTGGGGGATTCTGGGAGTTGAAGTCCACATCACTTAAAGTGGCCAAGGTTGGGAATCCCTGCTTTACAAAGAGGCTGAGGAATTCTGGGAGTTGAAGTCCACACCTCTTAAGGTGACCGAGGTTGAGAAACACTCATTTACAGAGAGGCTGAGGAATTCTGGGAGTTGAAGTCCACACCTCTTAAAGTGTCCAAGGTTGAGAAGTCCTGCTTTACAAAGAGACGGGGGAATTCTGGGAGTTGAAGTCCACACCTCTTAAGGTGATCGAGGTTGAGAAACACTCATTTACAGAATGGCTGAGGAATTCTGGGCCAAGGTCGAGAAGTCTTGACTTATTGATCTGTCCAGTGCCTAGCAAATGCTTATGTGCTTAACTTGATTACTCGACTTGATTACTCATCCATCTAGAATTGCACAGCTCAAACCTTGCAGCAAGGAGAGGAGGGGAAGAAAGACAAAGAAGCGAGGCAACTTATGGCGGAGCTTCCCTGCTGCAAAGCCACCACTACTATCCTCTTCCTTTTAGACCACTCTTCCTCTGTGGCTTCTACAGGTAGTCCTCAATTTACCACAGTTCATTTAGTTCAGTGGTTCTCAACCTTTTTAATGCCGCGACCCCCAACTGGTCGTAAGTCGAGGACTACTCAACTGGTGCAGCACCGTTTGCAGAATGGGACTTTTGGCGGGCTCAGCAGGGCAGAGACAGCCTGGACAATTCCTGTTGGCTTTTGAAAGCCAATAGAATTAGACTCTATAAAAGGGAGTAGCACAGCTAAGGAAAAGGGGGGAAAAATGGCGGACTGCGTTGTTTGGCGACCCCCGTGAAATGATCGTTCGACCCCAAATGGGGTCCCGACCCACAGGTTGAGAACCACTGATTTAATTCAAAATTACAACAGCACTGAAAAAAGTGACTTAGAACCTAAGAGCTGTGGTGGTGCAGTGGTTAGAATGCAGTATTGCAGGCTAATTCTTTTGACTGTCATCAGTTTGATCCTGGCCGGCTCAAGGTTGACACGGCCTTCCATCCTTCCGAGGTCGGTAAAATGAGGACCCAGATTGTTGGAGGGGCAATATGCTGACTCTGTAAACAGCTTAGAGAGGGCTGTAAAGAACTGTGAACCGGTACATAAGTCTAAGAGCTAGTGCTGTATTTTCCAGCCTTTCCTTCCTTCCTTCCTTCCTTCCTTCCTTCCTTCCTTCCTTCCTTCCTTCCTTCCTTCCTTCCTTCCTTCCTTCTGTCATGGTTCCGATTAATGAAACACTTCAAAGAACTTCCAGGCATGTTTATCCCAAAGCCTTTATTACCAGTGTTACAAATTGACGGCACATCATGGAGGTTTATGCCAGAATCTGAATTCCTCTTTCTGGCATCTAACTTTTCTTGCTAAACCCCTCCCTTATCTTGCAGTCACATCTTCCAACTAGCCTAGAGGGCAGAGATTCACTTCCATTCCTTTTCCCTGGCTTTTGTTATTTCCCCTCCCTTTTCTCTGTCATCTGAATTAACTCTAAAAATACCAGACAGTTCTGCATATTTTGTCAAAGCAAGAATATTCAATATTAGCAGCGTTGACACCTTCCTTCCTTCTCTCCTTCCTTCCTTCCTCCCTCCCTCCCTTTTCCTTTTCCTCTCTTTTTCCTTCCTCTGAGTCCCAATGGCGCAGTGGTTAGAATGCAGAATTACAGGCTAACTCTGCCCACTGCCGGGAGTTCGATCCTGACTGGCTCAAGGGTGACTCAGCCTTCCATCCTTCCGAGGTCGGTAAAATGAAGGAAGAGGAGGAAGGAAGGAAGGAAGAAGGAAGGAAGGAAGGAAGGAAGGAAGGAAGGAAGGAAGGAAGGAAGGAAGGAAGGAAGGAAGGAAGACCATGACTGTGGGGTACTTGGTGCTTTTCCTTGCAGATGTTTCATTACCCAACTACGTAACTTCCTCAGTGCTAGAAAGGAGTGAGGCTTGCTCTCCGTTTATCAAAGAACCACCAAGAACACTCCCACCAAGGCGAGCCTTGTATATAAACAGAGACCAAACCCCACTCCTTTCTAACACTGATGACGTTCCCTAATTGGGTAATGAAATATCTGCAAGAAGACAAAACAGCTCTGAAGACCCCACAGTCCTCCTCCTCCTCTCCCCCTCCTAGCACTGATGATGTTACCTAGCTGGGTCATGAAACATCTGCAAGAAAACAAGCTCAGAGAGCACCAGGGACCCCACAGTCCACCTCTGTCATTGTCATCCTCCTCCTCCCTCTCCTCCTCCTCCTCCTCCCCCCCTCCTCCCTCTCCTCCTCCTCCTCCTCCCCCTCCTTCTTCCTGCAAACCCCCTCCCTTCTAGCACTGATGATGTTACCTAGCTCGGTTATGAAACATCTGCAAAAAAACCCCCAACCAAGCTCAGAAAGCACCAAGGACTGAACAATTCAACTCTGAACTAGAAATATTATCTTCTCTCGGCCTCCAATCTCTGGTGTCTGTTGATTAAAACAGGAATTGAGGCTTCCTGGCTTCCCAGCTGGACTGGACAAACTCTGAGTCATCCAGGGCTACTCATTTTAATCTCCAACTCCTTGACCCTTTCAAGATGGATTCCCTTCTTCTCACATTACAAGCTCTAAACCCTGGCCGTTGCACGCTCATCGGAGGAAGAAAGCAGATGATCCAGAGCGGCCTTTCGCCGCAAGGATTTCCTGCTGTGCAGTCAAATCTCCCTAGTGGGTATGTATATATTTTCCCTCGGACGCTGAAAATAAAACGGTTGAATGGGTTGTAACAAACAAGGAAAGATGCTTGAAATGAGTGACCCAGGCCAGCAGAAAGCAAGCTCTTCAGCCAGCAGTGTGCTGCAGCTGCCAAAAAGGCCAACACAGTGCTAGGCTGCATCAACAGAGGGATAGAATCAAGATCATGTGAAGTATTAATACCACTCTTCAATGCCTTGGTAAGGCCACACTTGGAATACGGCATCCAGTTTTGGTCACCACGATGTAAAAAAGATGCTGAGACGCTAGAAAGAGTGCAGAGAAGAGCAACACAGATGATCAGGCGACTGGAGGCTAAAACATATAAGGAAAGGCTGCTGGAATTGGGTATGTCTAGTCTAATGAAGAGAAGGACGAGGAGGGACATGATGGCTGTATTCCAGTATCTCAGGGGCTGCCCCAAAGAGGAGGCAGTCAAGCTATTCTCCAAAGCGCCTGAAGGCAGGACAAGAAGCAACAGATGGAAACTAACCAAGGAGAGAAGCAACCTAGAACTAAGGAGAAACTTCCTGACAGTTAGAACAATTAACCAGTGGAACAACCTGCCTCCAGAAGTGGTGAATGCTCCAACACTGGAAGTTTTTAAGAAGAGACTGGACAGCCATTTGTCTGAAATGGTATAGGGTTTCCTGCCTGAGCAGGGGGCTGGACTGGATGACCTCCAAGGTCCCTTCCAACATTATGATGATGATGATGATGATAAAATCAGAGTTACAGCATGGAAGGTGTCCATCAGGGGTGTACAATCGTGGCCATTTTAAGACCTCTGGACTTCAACTCCCAAAATTCCCCAGCCAACAGGTCTTAAAACTAGCCAAGGTTGGACACCCGTGGTCTATATCTTCTCCACTTGCAAGACAACCCCAAGGGTTCCAATTTGTATTTTTGAAGCAGTTCAAAGCAATAATTACAGAGGCAAAGTGTTAAAACCGAGGCCAGAAAAACATTGCTGGAAAATTCACGAGAAGAGAGGTCCTTGTTCTTAAGATTAACCCAAAATGTGGGTTTTGCCGGTCCCTGGAACAAGAAGCTATTACAGTTTGGCGACCCCATGCGTGATCAAATGTACCATCCTTTTCCCAAGGCCACTTTTGCAGTTGTCAGCACGAGCAGGCCTCAATACTACTTGGCGATCCATACGTCGAATATTATGACTGTATTTAGATGGCAGGCTTCATTGCAGTAATCAATAAACCGACATTCAGGGCTTGCACAATCAACGTGTCGTAAAACCATCCCCTCTGTAGAGAGAGATGACCTCAATGGATATCTGAAAGAACCATTCCCTAGACCAGTGTGTTTCACACTTGGGAACTTTAAGATGGGGGGAGTTCAAGTCCCAGAATTCCCCAGCCAGCGTGTTTTAAGAGGGGTGGACTTTGACTCCCAGAATTCCCCTGCCAGAATGCTTTAAGAGGGATGGAATTCAATTCCCAGAATTCCCCAGCTAGCATGCTTTAAGAGGGATGGACTTCGACTCCCAGAATTCCCCAGCTAGCATGCTTTAAGAGGGATGGACTTCGACTCCCAGAATTCCCCAGCTAGCATGCTTTAAGACTGGTGGACTTCGACTCCCAGAATTCCCCAGCCAGGATGCTTTAAGAGGGATGGACTCCCTCCAATAATTTCTCAATGGGGAATTCTGGGAGTTGAAATCCATCCCTTTTAAAGCCAGCCAATTTGAAAAATATGCTTTAGCTGGTGTTCAGAATTATTCCTCCATGAGCCAAGATGTCAACGCTCAACTTACAACCGTTCATTTACTGACCGTGCAAAGTTACAGCGGCCCTGGAAAAAGGACCGTTCCTCACACTTACGACCCCCGTAGTCACGTGATCAAAATTCAGAGGCTCGTATTTATCACGGTCTCAGGGTCCCGGGGTCCTGTGATTCCCCTCTTGGCCGCCTTCTGACATGCAAAGTCGACGGGCAAGGCAGACTCCCACGACAACCTTGTTCCTAACTTAAAAACTGCAGCGATTCCCTTAACAACGGTTGGCAAGATAGCTCCTAAAAGGGGGCAAGGGTCACTTAACGGCCTCACTTAGCCACAGAAATGTCCGTGGTTTAAGTCGAGGACGACGGGCCTAAAAATGACCCATCTGTTTATCCCTTTTCTCTAGAAATAATCAAGGCCGACCAGCTCTCTGATTTTTCTGGGCTGTTTCTCCATGTAAGGATGTGGGTTTGTGTTATTTTGCGGGGGAAACACCCGGAACAAACAAGGGGAAATGATGAAGAATTGCACAGGGATAAGGGGAGGGGGGGGAAACACATCTTTTATTTTTTATTTTTAAGCCCGTGGAATAAGGAAACAACTTTACAACGGTGACCTCATAGATCAGCAAGCGAGGTCAAGTCGCCTTCCAACCGTCCCCTCGTCTTTTTTTTTTTTCTTCTCTTTTTATTTTCCAGCTCTTCCAACGCCAGATCCAGAGGGAATCTGGCCGCGCAGTTTTTCCCGACAAACACGTCTTCTTTCCAAAGCAGGAGCTTTCGTGAGAAGCTCACACACACACAAAAGCTTCTGCTTTTGAGCAAAGACGCGTTCGTCTCGGACCGACTGCCACCAAACTCCCGGCTTTCCGCCATCCCGGATCCACTCCACTCGCCCTGCAAAAAAAAAAAAAAATCCCACTTCCAAACATCCCTCAGTCAGTAACAGGGCCAGCAGCTGGAAGAGCCGGGAAACGATGTTGGAGAAGGTTGCAGAAGTAACATCTGGAGCTGAGTTTCGAGGCTGTCCTTTGAAAGAGACCCCCTCCCAATCCAGCGGGGCTGGCCCTCTTCCCGTCCTTGTTCTTCCAGCTCCAGCCAGGCTCCCTGGAACAGGTGAGGGTCTGCCTGAGGTCCGAGCAGAGTCCGTGGCTGGGCTGCGTGGTCCCTCCGTTGCAGACCCGATCCCTGGCTGCAATCGACAGAATCTTCCTCCTCCGAGTCCGGATCCCAGAGCCCATCTTTGTACCCATCAGGTTCTCTGATCCCCAACTGTCCCAGTCAGGAAAACAAAATCCGGTGGTCCAAGGCACGGATCTCCCTTTGGCTGGCTTCTCCGACAGACAGGTGCCCAGGGCTCACCGCCGCAGCATCCTCACCTGATTCCCGCCTCTGGCTTTCAGACAGCTGCCGCCAGCGAGCTCCCTCCGGCTGCCCTAGAGTAGACGGAAGAGGAGAAAAGCTGGAGTTGCCTCTTCCATAGAGTCAGCCCTCCAGGCGTTCCTACACTGTCCTCTGGGCTCCAGATGGGGAGGGGGGATGGGGTGGGGTGGGGGCGCAGGGAAGGAATCCAACTTTCTGCTAATCTCAACCGTAGATTTGTTTATTATAAATGTGTTGGGGTTTTTCAATGAATAAAAGAATAATTTGGTAGGTTATAAGAGAAACGTCTCTGTAAATGATGTAGAATAGATAGACAGAAATAGAGAAAGAGAAATACGGATAGATAGAGCAGGGGTCCCCAACTCCTAGTCTGTGGACCAGTACCGCACCACGGCATGGCAGCAACCGGTCCGCACAAACAACCAAAGTCCCATCCGTGAGATGCAGGCAGCACACAAAACCACACACCCTCCGGTCCGCAGAAAAAATGCCCCTCCACGGAACCGGTCCCTGGTGCCCAAAAGGTTGGGGACCTCTGAGATAGAGGCAAAGGGGGAGAGACAGAGAAAGAGAGAGAGTAGAGAGGGATAGATAGATGATAGGTAGGTAAGTAGATAGGAAGGAAGGAAGATAGATAGATGTGATTAGACAAACAGATAGAATATGTGATTAGATAGACATAGATAACAACAACAATAATAATAAAGTTGGAAGGGACCTTGGAGGTCATCAAGTCCAACCCCCTGCTCAGGCAGGTAACCCTATACCATTTTGGACAAATGGCTGTCCAGTTTCTTCTTAAAAACTTCCAGTGTTGGAGCATTCACCACTTCTGGGGGCAGGTTGTTCCACTGGTTAATTGTTCTAACTGTCAGGAGTTTCTCCCTAGATAGATAGATAGATAGATAGATAGATAGATAGATAGATAGATAGATAGATAGATAGATAGATAGACAGACAGACAGACAGACAGACAGATAGGAGAGAAAGGTAGGTAGGTAGGTAGGTAGGTAGGTAGGTAGGTAGGTAGGTAGATAGATAGATAGATAGATAGATAGATAGATAGATAGATAGATAGATAAGAGAATGATAGATAAGAGAATGATAGATAAGAGAAAGGTAGATAGATAGATAGATAGATAGATAGATAGATAGATAGATAGATAGATAGATAGATAGATAAGAGAATGATAGATAAGAGAATGATAGATAAGAGAAAGGTAGATAGATAGATAGATAGATAGATAGATAGATAGATAGATAGATAAATAGATAGATAGATAGATAGATAGATAGATAGATAGATAGATAGATAGATAAGAGACAGACAGGCAGACAGACAGACAGAGGAATTCTGGGAGTTGAAGTCCACAAGTCATAAAAAGGCCAAGTTTGAAGACCCCTGCTATAAGTCATGATGGTTGTAAAGTGTCCCCCTCTGATTGGACCACATTTTATTGTTTTTATTTTTGTTTTTGCAGTGGTTGTTAAAAGAGAATGCAGCAATTACAGTTACTCCTCAGTTTATGATGGCAGTTGGGACCACAATTTCCACTGCTAAGTAAAGCGGTTGTTAAGTTGCACCCCGGCCTGAAAACATCCACTATTGTAGCACCCACAACTTCACTGATTAATTTATTCTCCCTGTCAGGAAATTCTTCCAGATTTCCAGGTCGGATCGCCCTCTGACCTGCTTCCACCGATCATTACTAGATCCAAGGATCAGCATTGGAGGTTTTCAAGAAGAGACTGGACAACCGTTTGTCCGGAATGGTCTAGGACAGGGGTGTCAAAACTCAATTTCATTGAGGGCCGCATCAGCATTGCGGTTGCCCTCGGGGTGGGTGTGGCCAGGGTGGGTGCGGCCTACTGGGTGGGCATGGATGGAGTGGGTGTGGCCTACTGGGTGGGCGTGGATGGAGTGGGTGTGGCCTACTGGGTGGGCGTGGATGGAGTGGGTGTGGCCTACTGGGTGGACGTGGCCAGCTCTACATTGTTTGCGTCAAGGGTGCCTGTGGGGGCCTGGGCAGGAGTGGGACAGGTCTGAGGGTCTCTGGCAGAAGGGGGGGGGACCGAGGCATGGTCCACTGGAGGAGCCCCACTGCCTGCCGAAACCCCTCCCCCAGAGCCCATCAAGCCGGATAGGTGAAGTAGGCGAGGGCCATTTGCTGGCCACTTCCAGGCGATGGTCCATTTCTTCATTCCTCACAAAGGGGGACCCCTCCCCAGCATGCACCCAGGGGACAAGGCCGACGCGGCAGGGGCTGGTTCCTCGCTGTTTCCAGACGGCCTTGTGGAGCTAAGACTGAATGCATTTCAGCATAGATGGCCACCACAGAATTGTACATTGGCTCCCGGCCGGCCTGGGCCAGGGATAAGGCAGCGGGGGCCGTTCCCTCACTGTTTCCAGGATGGCTTCGCGGGCCACATGAAACCACTTTGCGGGCCGCATCCGGCCCCCTGGCCTTGTGTTTGACATGTCTGATCTAGGGTCTCCTGCTGGACCAGGGGGTTGGACTAGAGGACCTCCAAGTTCTCTTCCGACTCTGTCATTCAGGGCTCTTTCCCCATTAGCCAACAGTAGGGAGGAGACTGAAAGTCTTCATGCCAAGGAGAGGCTGGATCCCCATATGCAATTCCAGCTCTGGCTTCAGCTGTGGTGCAGAATATAAGCCTATGTGTGAATGTTCCAAAGGGGCTTTTTTTTTTCCCAAAAGGCAATTGGATTTTCTTTGTTTTTCTTTGAAGACATTTTGCTTCTCATCCAAGAAGCTTCTTCAGAAGTGACCAGAAGTGAAACGTCTTCAAGGAAAAGCAAAGAAAGGAATAGAATAGACTAGAATAGAAATAAGAAAAGAGAATAGAAGAGAATAGAATTAGAAATAAGAATAGAATTACAGAATAGAATAGAATTACAGAATGGAATACAATTACAGAATAGAATAGCATAGCATAGAATAGAAATAAAAATAGAATAGAAGTAGAAATAAGAAGAGAATTAGAAATACGAATAGAATTACAGAATAGAATAGAATAGAATAGAATAGACAGATTTTAGAATAGACTGTAGAATACTGTAGAACAGATTATAGAATAGGATATGATAGGACAGGATAGAACAGAACAGGATAAAATAGAACAGAGCAGAATAGAACAAACAGAATGTAGAACAGAACAGAATAGAATAGAGTAAAATAGATAGATTTTAGAATAGAATAGAACAGATTGTAGAATAGAACAGAGGATAGGATAGGATAGGACAGGACAGAATAAGATAGAACAGAATAGGAGAGAATAGGATAGAATAAAACAGAACAGGACAGAATAGAACAGAACAGAATAGAACTGATTATAAATAGAATAGGATAGGATAGGATAGGATTAGTACAGATTGTACACAGAACAGAATAGAATATATAATAACAGAGTTGGAAGGGACCCTGGAGGTCATCTAGTCCAACTCCCTGCTCAGGCAGGAAACCCTAGACCATTTCAGACAAATGGCTGCCCAGTCCCTTCTTGAAAACTTCCAGTGTTGGAGCATTCACCGCTTCTGGAGGCAGGTTGTTACACTGGTTAATTGTTCTCACTGTCAGGAAGTTTCTCCTTAGTTCCAGGTTGCTTCTCTCTTTGGTTAGTTTCCACCCGTTGCTTCCTGTCCTGCCTTCAGGCGCTTTAGAGAATAAGTCCAGTTGCCTTTTGAACAACAACAACAACAAAAGCACCTTTGGGACAGCCATGACCTGGATGACTGAGAATCTCCACAGGCACCTACGTGTGAATGCACATTCTTGCATCTTAGTGCCTCTGAGCTCTGAGCAGGGCTTGAGGCTAAAGGGGACCCAGAAAAATCGGTGTTCGGCCTTTCCTGGAATCCAGCAGATGACCTCACCGAAATTTGCCCCTAGCAAAGGTTGAGAAGTCATCGGAATCCAGAACAGCCTGGAATCCCAACTGCTTCCCATGCTAAGGTCCAGTGGCTTTCCATGGGGGGAGGGAGGGAAGAGAGGGAGCTCATTTGCAAAGCCACACCCCCTTGTCCCACAAGATTTTCGACCAGCTGAAAAAACACCACCGCAAATACCATTGCGGTTATGTGAACTTCTTCTGCCTTTGGCCCGAGGGTCCCTGCCTGTACGAAAATAGCCTTTGGAGCAGTTGCTTCCCAACCTTGGCAACTTTAAGACGGGTGGACTTCAACTCCCAGAATTCCCCAGCCAGCCAGCATGGATTTGACGAAAGGGGATGAAATCAGGGGCTGGAGGGATTGCTGTCACACCAGAAAGGAAGTTGGGATACTGAGTTTGTTTATATCTGTTGAAAACAAGGTTGGAACTTCCCAAGTTCCTTCCTTCCATCAAACCTCCTCCCTCCCTCCCTAATTATCCTTTCTTCCCTTCCTTCCTTCCCTCCTTCACATCAAACGTCTTCCCTCCCTCCCTAATTATCCTTCCTTCCCTCCTTCCTTCCTTCCTTCTTTCACATCAAACTTCCTCCCTCCCTAATTATCTTTCTTGCTTCCCTCCTTCCTATCAAACTTCCTCCCTCCCTCCCTATTTATCCTTCTTTCCTTCATATCAAACTTCCTCTCTCCCTAATTATCCTTCCTTCCTTCCTTCCTTCCTAACTTCCAAACTTCCTCCCTCCTTAATCTTTCTTTCTTTCTTTCCTTCCTTCCTTCCTTCCTTCACAAACTTCCTCCCTCCCTAATTTCCTTCCTTCCTTCCAAACTTCCTCCCTCCCTAATTATCTTTCCTTCCTTCCTTCCTTCCTTCCTTCCTAACTTCCTCCCTCCCTAATTATCTTTCCTTCCTTCCTTCCTTCCTTCCTTCCTTCCCAAACTTCCTCCCTCCCTAATTATCCTTCCTTCCTTCCTTCCTTCACATCAAACTTCCTCCCTCCCTCCTTAATTATCCTTCTTTCCCTTCTTCCTATCAAGCTTCTTCCCTCTCTCCCTAATTATCCTCCCTCCCTAATTATCTTTCCTTCCATCCTTCCTTTCTATCAGACTTCCTCCTCCCTCCTTAATTATCCTTACTTCCTTCCTTCACAT